GATCCAGGGTCTGGGTATTTTTTCCCTGGTGCGCTTATCCAATTCATCCTTAAAGGACCACTATAGTGCCAGGAAAACATGCTCGTTTTCCTGGCTCTATAGGGTCCGTGGATCCCTCTCACCCTCTGGGCCCCGCTCCCACCGGGCTTTAGGGTGAGGAAGGGGTTAATCCCCTACCTTTTTTCCAGCGCCGGGCTCCCTCAGCACTGGGGACTCTCCTCCTCCTTTCCCTTCATTGGCTTAATTGCGCATGCACGGCACGAGCCGCGTGCTCATTCAGCCAGTCTCATAGGAAAGCATTCTCAATGCTTTCCTATGGACGCTGGCGTCTTCTCACTGTGAAAATCACAGTGAGAAGTGCAGAAACGGCTGTCAATAAGAAGCAGAAAGGGTTAATCCTAGACGGCAGAAAGGGTTAATCCTAGATGGACTTGGCACCCAGATCACTTAATTAAGCTGAAGTGGTCTCAGTGCCTATAGTGGTCCTTTAATGAGGCTTTTGATAGGAAGAGGAAAAGCAGTCTCTATTTTTTTTCTTTAGACTGGCAAAATGTTTGCTACATAAAAGTTCCTGCAGAGAGGATTCTTCCAAGTTAATTGTTTTACAAACTAAGACAATGAGGGCCTCTATTTCCTTCTCACCCTCCTGAATTAGGAATGTATTCACCTTCTGAGGAGAAATAGTCCCCTCTAAATTCTTGATGGCTTTCACCCTCGTCAGAAGAACCATATTCTGAATCAAATCTGATGTAGCCCTCTTAGAACTCTCAGAAGCTTCTTTGACTTCCTCTGCTATGACCTGTTTAATAAAGGCAATCACATCCAAAGGGTTAGATCCTGAGGAATGGCCAAAAAGGTATCAGATGTTAGGTTGGTAAAGGACAAGCACAGCCTTTTCACCTCTACTGTCAGATTTTTACAGGCTTCACAGCTGATAGGTCTAGGTTTCTTATCGAAAATTAAAGCTGAGATATCCTTGGAAACCAGAGGGACCTGTAAGGTTGAAATATGAATGATCCACATGTAAGGGGCATGTGTTCTTGAGACCAGAAAGTGATTTTAAATCTACAGTTGTGCTCAAAAGCTTGCGTACCCTGGCAGAAATTGTGAAATTTTGGCATTGATTTTGAAAATATGACTGATCATGCAAAACATTTATTTTATTGTAAGATAGTGATTGTTACGGTACACCCAGGTATAAGAGGGGTTAGCGGGGGCAGAGCCTGACCTCTGAGCAGAGCAGTCACATGCAGAGTGAGCTCCCGTGCGGCCTGCAGATTTTGGGGCAAAACCTGAAGCTCAAGGGCTCACAATTACACTGCGGTGCACTACCCATGCTGGGGGTACACTGCCAAACCGA